AATTTTTCTAATAATAAACAACTGAACAAGCCGTTTGGAAAGAACACGGTTTACGATATAATAGATTTCGTCATTTAAAGTGCATATACCAATTAATTGCACGATGAAAATGCTTGTTTGATTATGAAAAGCATTCGAAAATTGCTATCGCATTTGTAGAATCACAAATATTTGTTTTAAACAACCACAAGTTACTCGTTCTGTCCATCTACGATTCCCATGACTCCAATTGCTTTTGCAGGTCCATAGTTCGCAATCATTGACCTAGTCTAGTCAAAATTAAGATAGCAATGTCTTTACTAAAAGTTATGCAAGGCAGACGAGCAATCGTGTCGTTGAATGGTCAATAAATCTTTTATAATCATAATGATGACATCACGTTCTTATTGACGGGAGATAAGAGATCAAACAAAAGGTTCACGCGTTTAATTTGCGACGCTCTGTCCGCATTCATTTCATTCACATTTGTTAAAAGACGGGTCACGTGATTGCGAATTATGGTACAAGAAAACGTTCGCTTCTAACACGATCTACGATGACACGTGATGAAACGCTATGATGTCATGTGTTGTCGATTCGCATTAAGCGATCCACTTTTCTGTCGTCGTTTATTTAGATTTACGAATGCACAGCACCGGCTTGATGAACTTTTAAACTGCACGTGCCATCTCCTCCAGTTCGGTCCTACGCGAGGGCACGCTCTCGAAATATGTAGAATGCATTAGAAATTAAAGTGATATCTATGCGTCTTCTCTCGTCTCGCCGATAACAAATGACGCTCGCTTAAAACTATGAAGCGGGAGCAATGAGAATTTAGCCCCCGGTATCAGCAGACAACAGAGGAGAGGGAGAGAGGTCGTTTGCTTCAGCAACTGCTTTGGTCTAAATAAATTCGAGCGACGGCAAAGTTGAAAAGTAGCTCACTTTACTTTACTTCCCCGTTTCTGGTAAATATTAATTTATGGAGAACGTACCGAATGGAAAACAAAAGATTCGTGGCTCGTTAAAATTTATCCAATTATCTTTCAAAAGGGTTTATGCATTTATGCGACTAAAGATGCGAGTAAAATCATTTTCGTGACGATTTCTTTTTGTTTTTCAAGAGCTTAAGATTTCGAGATTGATGTTTAAAAATAGAGTTAAAAAAAAATAATATTAAAATTTCGTTGAAGTGTTACTTCGAAAAAGTATATATAAAGATTTGGCGTATTACAAAAATTTTTATTATCCGACGTCTGATAACTGGCACGGATAACGACGGGCCAAAAGCTACGAATATGTGTACAATTGACGAACAACAACACACAACCAGACACGTTCCATCTGGCTGCGTGCATTATCTATCGGTTAATTTATCGATTTCCAGTTGCGCGGCAGGATTCGGGCATACGGTAGGAAATGTGTCAAAGCAATTTCACGATATCCCACGCGAGACCGTCCGACAATTTATCGAAATGTTCTGATTGTGAGCTTCGCGGTGAATTGGCCACGCCTATCGCTGATTTATCTTTCACCTAATCTAATTCATCTAGTTCCACGGCATGTTAATTATGCACTCTGTATTTAGTAGAACATAGCTATACGATTGTGTAACTAAATAAATATTTCTTTATACGCTCAAAAGTTAGGAAAAATGGCCGAGACAATAAGTCATTATCTAAATTATCTATGATTTAATCAATTAAATACTGCATAACAATATTTTTTACTTGTTTTGTATTCTTCTCGTGTTAGCGTTTTCTCTATTTTTCTTTCCACTTTTTTTTAGATAGAACTTCTCGCAGCACGTAATTGCATTTTGTTCGCCTCAGTAACACACAAGAAAATAAATCATCGAATTTGAACGGAAGTCAGATGGCAGGCTTGCGTTGAAAACTTTTCGCCAAAAGACACCACGATGTTATTAATTTACCAAAGACAAATTACCCGGTCTCCCAAAGCGACCGGTTAAGTTTGTTCCCGCGACTTCGCCTGTTATATTATGATACACGAATAGTTTGCAGCTTCCTAAACACAAGATTTTCTAATTACCGTAACGTCACGCGCTATAACACGCTGCACATTATACATGTATCGTGTTCCCCTTTAGTGTTCCACATAGTAATAACAAATGTTGCGATATCGATCTTTTATCACTTCCGATAAATGAAAACAAGAAGGATAATTTTTATGAACCCCGTTACAAGGAATTATGCAATATTAATTTTTAATTTTTTGTTCTACATAAAAAACTTTGCGCTTTCTTTGATGCTTCTATCTCTCACGGTTAAATAGCAAAATCTCCTCAATCCTTACTATCTCCAGTTTCTCCTCATTTACGAAGTAAGCTTCTTTCACTTATAAAAAAGGAAGAAACGGAGACATAAAATCCGTGCAAAGAACAAAGTCGTAATAAAAGAAGAAAATTCTCTCTCCGGAAGATTTACTTTTATGCAAATTCGCATAAACTTACGATTTCGGTCTCTAACGAATTGAATCATGAAAATATCCTCACCACTTTTAACCTACATCTGATATATTGCGAACAGATAAAGAAAATCGACACTTTTCATTATTTTAAAATGTATCGGTTCCATCTCACTCTATTAATGGAAGTAATGCATGTAATTATACCATAAAAGATTCCCTAATGGGAAAACTGAAATAATATTTAAAAAAAGGTGACAAAAACCCTTATCATGGAAAAATTTTAAGAACATGCTTATCATCAGATTCATTCCTAACAGAAAATTACGGATTAGTCGCTTTACTACTTCCATGAGTATCGCCTGTTCAGACACGCACCCTAGAACCCACGTGCTCTCTGCACAATTATTTTCATATCTCTGCCAACTATGACCACTATTCGTCCATTACTCCCACCCCCATCCATTACTTTCTTCTCTCTTTCGCTCTCATTGCTTTCATGGGTCACACGTGTTCCTATCCATCCGCCTGAATGCCTTTTACCTGAATATCACATGCAGGAAATGGGAAAACCATAATGGCCGAGTGAAATGCAGCCTCGGAGAACTTCAACTGCTATACCTGTCTCGTCCGATCTATATTCTACCAAATCTACTGTCGTGCGGCACACTCACTGGTGTGAACGTAATGGAAAAGTCTATAAGCCTGCCGAACGTAAGGGGCGAGACGAGCGATTTGTGTATCAAATCGAATCTGTCCGATTTGCGTAATGTGGTCGGGAAATAGGAAGTTGTGCATCCAAGTATAATGCCAATACAATTATACGTGAATTATTCAACGAGGACATATTACATAAATCATACTCGATATTGTACAGATTAAATATCGATATCAATGATCTTTAAACTTTCAGGATGAAAGATTGAAGTTATACTATAATTGTACTTATTACTTAATGAATTATCGCAAAGATTCCGACCATCAGAAGAAAGTAGCACGCTCTAATTAATTGTTATAATTCTCATTAACAAATAATTTCTTATACCATCATTATAATCATCATGCCTCATGTTTTCACCTTACCCATTGAAGAAACTTTTCTAAAAGCCTTACCATTATCTCGTCTCATAAATATTGCATCGGCAGACAAACTTTTAAAGGCAATTGAATTCGGCTACCAGCTCTCTCGACAAAATGAAATTTAGGTGTGGTGACCCTAACTTTACGAACAGTAATGCAGCCCGAAGATGCTCGGTTGCATCCGATGCAGAACGCTGCACGTACGGAGCCGAGGGGTTGAAAGCCCACCTAATCGCCGATTAAAAATTCACACGGTCCAACTCGCGCACAAGCCTCAGGCAAATCTCCAAGGTGGAGGTGTCGCCGTGCCATTTAGCCAACGAGGCATTAGGATCAACCGGATGCGGTGTTTCGAGATGTAACCGATATCTGAAAGATCGTCACTAGCTTTACCGGCTTCGACCGGCTTATAGCGTTGCACGCAAAATTGTGAATGAAATTCCGGGCACAAATAAAGCATGGCTCTTATTGAAGATCCAGTCTGGTTCTCTTTTCATGCATAGAAGCTAGACTGGGCCTTTAAGTCGTGAATTGTTTGATTTATTTCTCACCTTGGACTGCGTATGTCGATTGCCTCGGTTTCCACGGACAATTCGATCTTCTCTCGCGTTTCCATCGGCATCTTCACGAGCACGGATAACCACTCGCAGGACGCACTGCTTGGCGTTTTGAATCCCATCTGATTTAACAAAATGATGTAACAATTTAATAATAGAATAATATCGTTTTTAGAAGTAATTATAAAATAACATCAAACAATGATACAAAAAAGTCTAAAACTAAACATTATATAAGCAAAAATATCAAAGATCGATCACATTTACATTACATTTACTTTACAGGCTACATATATAAGAAAATAAATTTTCAAGTTCCTCTGAAATCAAAATTCTATTATGAGACATTTGATTTGGGAAATAATAATCTCGATGTGATTACGATAAAATATGCATATTATAACAAATGTAATAAAAATAAAATAACAATTTATTTTTATCACGAAAGCAGCTCATGTTCAACGCCACTGGATTAGAATCTGTGACAAGAGATTGATCGGAAACCCGATGACGTGCATATGTAAGTACGTGCGAAGTATTCAAATTTGTAGCTGGTTTGATATCAATGCAACACTAACTCCCAGAAAGACATCTTCCGCTGTCACCGCCTGTTTAAATTTCATTTCGTATTCTGGCACCTCCCTAGGATCATAGGCTTCCAAACTTTGCACAGCGGTTACTTCAGACGGATGCCAAATATCGTCGCCTTCCGGTTTCAACGATGCATGTGGACCCGCATGAGACATCCCATTCTGAGCTCTGATATGACCAGGTCCTTGATAACATCATTTTTACTGTATCATATATAACGTTACGATGCTATAGAAAATTAATGTCTACCAAATATGTATTTCTTTTTTCTTTCTCAACTTCCTGTGAAATCCAATGTTGATATTGACGGAACTAACAATAAAGCGAATTCTCGCATATAGCAGACTTGCTGAAAAATTAGGGTGGGCAATAACAATATGAAAGGGATATAAAACGAACACTCTGAATATATATAAAATATACAACAGGACAGAATAGGGAAACATGAACCATATCCTATCATTTAACTCTATAACAAACACAGAAACATAGAAAAATCATGGAAATCGGTTCAGCCGTTCGGAAGTGATGCTGAAACCAATATATTTACAAAACTGACTTTCATGTACATAAATGTATATTGTTAATATTAAGTGAGTGTGATTAAAATTCTACAATGTCTATTACGCAGAGACATCTTCAAAATCTGTTATATAAATTTCGATTACAAACGGATAAAAATTTCAAAAAGAACGATTTTTACTCTTTCACTTGTAATTTCGATAAATTCCAACTGTTTGACATTTTCTAATAAAATAATAGCAAAAAATGTTCATTAAGTAGCCCAACGTACATTAAATAATAAATAAAGAAAAAAAATACTTCGGAAAATTTTAAATTTACCAAGTTTTCGAGCCCCAGCCTGTGGCAAATCATCTTCGGATTCTGAATCGTTCTTGGAATGATTAATCAATTCCTCCAATGCTTTTAGTTCGTGATAGCCGAAACAACCATCCATCTTTTTAACTATAAATGTTAAACACTTTTCAGAAATTAACACTAATCACTCACGACCGAGAATCAACATCAATAAGCGAAGTTGTCAAGGTAACAAATTTCATATATACATATTGTGCAACACATAAAGGCACGACGCGAACGCGGGTCAGTATAAAAAGGTATAACATTACTTAGGCACAGTTTTGCACGCACAGTTTCGTCTGTAAGATCGTGGTTTTGCACGTATCAAGTTCACAGTTTTAATAGATAATACAATAAAATCTACCCGTTAAAAATAGCATTAAACAAAAAGATATTAAAAAATGGAGCAATCAATTTGGCGGACATGCACATTGCACATTACGGATTACAGGTTCACCAATCGAGAAACGAAAATAAAAATCCTTTCTATAGTGGGTTACCAACATGGCTGACACTACTGCTGAAAAATTATCAAAAAAGTGAGTAAATTAATGATATTAATTGAAAATTAGATTGCCCGAGTATTTATTTGGCATGTGTAAACAATTGTCTATTGCATACACCTCTTATTCAAACAGAACCATCATGGGACAGTGATCAATGCTGTTTTGTGGTTAACCACATTGTTCTCTGGGCATCTGTCTATATGGATTTAATTTTTACGAGCGTTAAATAGTTATATTTCACGAAGTTCTATGAACAAATGTATTTATTATACGTACATGTAAATAAACTATTAGTGTTATAACGACGCTTTTAATTAAAAATGTTGTATAACATAACCAAAGTTTTTGTTGACGTGGTATTGCCGGTACTTCATAAAACGAAACCAACTAAATTGCATCAAATATCTATTCGTAATTTTCACACGAAGTGCGTATGATTAGAAAATACTATGTTTTCATATAAGAATTATCGCACATCAAATGTTTTGGATTTGATTGCAGTGAGTTGAAAAGACGTTTGAAAGCAGAACAAAAATTGAAGGAAAAAGCAGAAAAAGAAGCGAAACTACTGGCAGAGGCAGCCACGAAAAGTGAAAGCCAAACTGAAAAGAAAAAAGAAGATAAGGAAGAGGAAATTAGTCCAAATGTGAATATATATAGAACTTAAAACACACTTTTTACATTATTCCTATATTTAATTGAAATTGTTTCCAGGAATATATTAAACTTAGAACACAAGCAGTCCATCATCTCAAGAGCATCAATGAATCTCCATATCCACATAAATTTCATGTGTCAATCTCATTGGAAAATTTCATTGAGAGATTTAGTGATAACTTGAAAAATGAAGAAATTATGTTCAATGAAGTACATAGTGTGGCTGGCCGTGTACACTCGATCAGAGGGGCTGGTGCTAAGCTTATTTTTTATGACCTCAGAGGGGAAGGCGTCAAAATTCAAGTAATGGCTAATGCAAGACATTATAAAGATCAAGAAAAATTTGCTGATGATACTGCTAAGATAAAAAGAGGTGACATCATTGGTGTGGTTGGAAATCCTGGGAAAACCAAGAAGGGTGAATTTTCTATTATGCCTCATAGTATTACCCTTTTGAGTCCTTGTTTGCATATGTTGCCACACCTGTTTTTCGGTTTGAAAGACAAGGTACATAAAATATTTTTGACTTCAAACACACAATAGCTAACAATAATTGTATTATCCGTAACTATTTCATAGGAAACGAGATTCCGTCAACGTTATTTAGATCTTATTTTGAACGACAGAGTGAGGAAAACGTTTCAAGTACGTGCAAAAATAGTTGCGTACGTACGAAAATTTCTTGATGAACTGGGCTTTTTAGAAGTTGAAACACCAATGATGAATATGATCCCCGGTGGTGCAACAGCTAAACCTTTTATTACACATCATAATGAATTGAACATGGATTTATATATGCGCATTGCTCCAGAATTATATCTTAAAGTAAGGATTGTTTCATAATCGTGACCGACTTGGTCCAAAGTGCTACTACATATTTAATCATTGTTTACATGGTTGTAGATGTTGGTAGTAGGTGGAATGGATAGGGTGTATGAAATTGGAAGACAGTTTAGAAACGAAGGAATAGATTTGACACACAATCCGGAATTTACTACGTGTGAATTTTACATGGCCTACGCAGATTATAACGACTTGATGTCTATTACAGAAGATATGATGTCAGGGATGGTGAAAGCTATTCATGGCAGTTATAAAATAACATACCATCCAGATGGACCAGAAGGCGAAGCAGTAGAAATTGATTTCACTCCGCCGTTTAAACGAGTTTCAATGATGGAAACACTAGAACAAGTTCTAAAAACTAAATTACCACCAGCGGACAAACTAAACACTCCAGAAACAAATCAAATACTTAGCGATCTTTGCGTAAAACACGAAATCGAATGTCCGCCACCAAGAACAACAGCTAGATTGTTAGATAAAGTAAGATTCCTCTTTGATTAAAAATTGGTTCATAATTACATTATGAACTTACATAACATAATTACGTTACATAAATAATTACATTATTTTCTTAATAGCTTGTTGGAGAATTTATAGAAGAGACTTGTATCAATCCTACCTTCATTATGGATCACCCACAAATTATGTCTCCTTTAGCAAAGTGGCACCGTTCTCAACAAGGCTTAACAGAACGATTTGAATTATTTGTTATGAAGAAAGAAGTCTGTAATGCGTACACAGAATTGAACGATCCTTTAGTTCAACGAGAGAGGTAAGTAATTTATTTGATCAAGAATTCCATATAAAGTACAGAGAAAAAATAAAATAGAAAATGTTCGTTTTAATATTCAGATTTGAGCAACAGGCAAAAGATAAAGCAGCCGGAGATGATGAAGCTCAATTAATTGATGAAAATTTCTGTACCGCATTAGAATATGGTTTACCACCAACTGCAGGTTGGGGATTAGGTATCGATCGTGTTACTATGTTTCTCACAGATTCAAACAATATTAAAGTAAGTTTTTGAACAATGAGGTATATAGAGGCAAATACAGAATATAATAATATATAATAACGATAATATATTTCTAGGAGGTACTGTTGTTCCCACAAATGAAACCAGATGATCCAAACAAAAATCAAGGAGTATCCGACGACGATAAAACAATGAATGAGAACACAAATCATGTAGAAAAATGAAGATTCATCTTCATGTAATCTCTCTGTGTGCAAACTGTTCTTTGAATACGAAGTGAAATAACGAAATAAAAAAGCTATACTTTCAACAATTGAAATGTCGTTATATTTTGTCATAACTGAAAGAACTGTTTCTTTTCTTCTAAGAAACTCTACTCCTACTAGTCTATACTATTACTTACCGTTAAACTAGTTTATAAAACTTCAAGAACATGGGAAAAGTGTATTTATACATACAATTTTAACTTTCACTGCAAGAATTCTATTTTAATATTTGTTTAATTTTCATAAAAAATTAAACATTTACAAAAAACGTAAATTATACTTAGATATTTACATTAAAACGACGGAGCAAGTAAGCACTGAACAATAATGTGTACTTGCAATTTGCTGGCAGCATTTTCATATTGTCAAATATTTAAGTAATAAATAAAATTTTTACAATAGTACAGTATTCGTTTATAAAAGAACCACGAAGGAAGACCTATTCTTGTTACCTTAGACCTAAGTTATTATTAACATGAGACTTGTAAGTGTATATTGATTACAGTTACCAGAGAAACATTGAATTATTAATTTGAGATGTAATTGATATGTTTCCCGGACACTTAACTGTGGCAGCTCTTTAAATGGTTGATATACATTATAATAAAAAGTTTTAAGAAATATGCTGAATTTTTCTTTTACACACATTAGCCAAACGTAATACCCATCTCTATCAACTTTCTTCCTCTTTTACGTATTTCGTAACAGAATTATAGTGAGCTCCTAGTTCATACATGTGACGATGATAAGTCAGTATCATCTTCTTTTCAATTTTATAGTCATCACCAATAACATATGGAACACCAGATGCCTGAATGACTTCTATTGGACATTTCAATACATGAGAAAGAACTTGGAGCTATTTTAAATAAGAACAATTCTATAAGCACAATTTGAAAACATTATAGGTATTTTTCAATTTATTACAACTTACCTCAATAGCTCCTCCCCAAGCACTTGTATCTGCCACATCATCACAATATTTCTCATACTGTTCTGGTGACAGCAAATCATCAGATTCTGCATTAGAAATGAATGGTAGAAATTCGTTCATATTTGCTCTCAAGTATATAGCAGTTTTTGTTCTAAGTTCACGAAAATTCAGTGGAGCTTCTCCTATAACTTTTAGCTGATGTGCAACAGCATTGTATAAACTGCAATAATTAATATAAAGAATAGATAACATGGAAACTAATAAAAGCAGTATAGAGCATACTTACCAATGGCCATCACTTGGAATCTCATAAACCATTAAACCACGTTCAAAAAGAACTTTTTTGATAGTTTGCAATTCTACATTCCTTTTTCCAAAGACATTTAATGCTTCTTGTTCTATAATTCTTTGGTTGCGTTCTCTTTCAGCATTTGCTTTTTTGTCTCTTCTCTTTTGTGCTTTTGAAATCCTACTTGTTGGCTGTTCGGACTGTTTATTATCTTTTATACTTTCATTATTACTATTTTCTATATCTTCATCTTCCATATTATTTATATTAAGATGTGTAACTCTCCATCTAATTAATTCATCTTCCTGCTTTTTGTCTAAGACTTCTTCCAGGCGGCCAATTTCTTCAGTTACTTCCTTCTTCCTCTTCTTGTCACCTTTGCAAATTGATTTCTTTAGCGTTTGTATTTGTGCTAAAATTTAAAATATAGTAAATAAACGTTTATATCTTAAAAATAAAATTCAAAATATATGATGTTATAAATATTTAACATAACGAATATTTAACAGTAACGAAATAGTTTATGTAAACGAAATTATATTAATAATTTAACTTCATGAACAAATATTAAGATCCAAAATTTCGCCTGCATTACCCTGTAAGTCCTTCCGTTCCTTTTTATGTTTTTGTGACAATTCTTCTTCTGTAAATTCTAATTCTGCCATTTTTAATTTAGAAGTTACTTAAAAACTGTCTACTTATTTTAAGGTTAAAAGATAAAAGACGACCATGACGAACAGTACTTCACTCGGATACTACTAGTGACTTCCAGTGCGCATGCCCCAAAAATCCCACGTTGTATTCAGTTCTGTAATCTGCACAGTTCTGTTCAATAAGTTCAGTTCTGTTGAGTTGCATTGCAT